TAAGCTGTAATAATTTATGAAGAGTTGTTGGCTTTTATTTTTTTGCACTATTTTTGATTCAGCTGAACAAAGAGGATAGAACTGCTACTGATTTTACATTGATTAGTTTTTTTCATAGTATGCTCACCTACCTGTATGTTTTCACAGGGTATAACAATACAAGCACTGCGAATTCATGAAGTTTCATGTATATCTAAAGCAATCATAGACTGAAACCCATATCAGCATGGGCAACCTGTGTGTACAGCCATAATGATCAGTGAATGATGGTTCATTTCAATTGTCTCCCCTCTTGACATGCTTTGTGTAGGAGTGAAGCCTTTGTCATTCTGTTCAGTTTGAATAATCCCGGATTTGTTTGTTGCTTTCTGTGTTGTCCTGGTGAGGCATCCTTGGGCTCTTCCTTCTCTTCTTCTGTGCTCCAGTTGAAGGAACATTATTGTCTGGTGTGCATGCCAAAACCAAAACAGAAGCCAAAAAGCTTTTATATGATCATAGCTATATAGCCAACTTGAGGCTGTTTTGTGAGAGAACTGTTTCTCTACAGCGGCGTCATGGTGGTTCTTTCATACAATTGGAAAAGCTTCCTGTCTTGTGTTCCATCTGTATCAGGTTCATACCCTGAACTGGGGAGGATCAATAGTGTTGTCTCAGAAATCAACTCATTAAAAGATAAGAAAACAAAACTAATAAGAAAGCAAAACAAAACCCTCTAAGGTATTACTTTGTAGCTAATCAACTGGGAGAAGGCAGGATAGTTGGAAGTCTTCACTCTTGAAAGAACTTCCAGAACCATGTCACAGAGTAATTCTATCTGAACTGTGGTCAGTTCATGGTAAAGACCTCGATGCTTGGAGTTCACCTCTGTTTCCTCACATCTGCTTTTAGAACTTACAGCTTATAATGGCTACTGGTGGTGCTCATCCATGGTGAGAGACCTCTTCTTCAGGGAAAAGGCCTCTTGGGTTTCCACAGTGACAAGACCTTACCCTCAGTGAAGAACTCCCAGGCTTCACTTTGTTTCTGTAAATCTTTCTGCAGACCTTAAGAAGAAAGTCGGGCTGCCAGCACTCTCTAGCTTGCTTCAAGGTGCATGTTGGCCTGGTGTTATAGATTTCTTAGACCCTTTGTAAGCAAGAAGGAATAAGATGATATTAAAAAGGAAATAGTGCTGTCCCTATCCTACCTTTTCATCCATGTTCTTTGTAAAGTCTGCATCAGCAAAGTTTTTGAGGATGCACCCAGGAAACATAAAGTGGTGCTTTCATTGTTACTGCTTGCAATTCAATCATTTAAAACCTGCTTCTCCATTTCTTTTTACTTTCCCACTATAGCCTTCATTACTGGGAAGCAAACACTAACTGGTTTAGGTTTTTTTTATTTTCTCTGTGGTGTAGTGCTTGGGTGATGAATAGCTGTCAATGTTTATTTTTTCTAAAGAGTAGCTAGGAATGATAGATGAAATGCATTACTAATTTACCTAAACTTGTCTCTTGTTCTTATTATCCTGAATGTCAAGTGCCTTGACATCCGAAATGACTGAGTCCTCACAATGCAACAACTGGACATGCGCCGAGATCACTGAATAAACAGGTAGACTTAAATAGGTGATGGTGGTTTTAGCAACTGATGGTCTGTGTCTGGAAGACTGCATTGCTGCACATTGTGCTGTATCAGTTCAATAGACAGAGCAGCTGAAGGTCAGTTTTGTCGAGCTTCTTTTGTAAGTGCTGGCATGCGCTTTAAGTTATGTACAAAGGAAATGGGGGAAAATGCCATAGGAGAAACATAAGCTGTATTTATTTGTTCTTCCTCTAGAAGGGATCCCCCCTGACCCCCAGAACTCACTGCTGATTTCTCATGGAATATGTATTATTTTCTCCATAATGTATCACTGTAGGTGGTGTCAGAAACTCTGCATGTCTTCCTTTATTCTTCTCTACCTTCATTCTTTGGTATAGGTATAAATGGATTTAGTACATTGGAGCGTGTATTTGTCCCTGCTGCTTTGCATACCAAATATGTAAATCCTGTTCAAGTACAATACGAGAACAAGGCAAGAGGAATTTTTTTCTCTTTCATCAGAAAATTCAATAATTATTGCTGCTGTTGTGGCATTTCTTACAGAGCAACTCTTGAAATACTCAAGTTGATACTTCAGTTGGTATTAAAGTCACTTTGCATTTCTCAAACAGCGTAAAGATACAAGATTCGGCCCAGAATAAAGTTGTATTCATGGACGGGATTTGAGAGGAAGGAGGCAAAGAGCTATCGCTGTGTATTAATAGGTATTGTCATCAGAGCTATACAAACATAGATAAGAAAAACTGACATGAAAATGACAGTGGACTATTTGAGATGCTCATTAGGCAATTTCTCTTTATGGATCATAGAAACAGACAGAATAGAAGGTCATTTAATAGTAATCCTGGACATAAAGTACAAGTTAAAATTAAGCCAGTCAAGACTCATTATTCTTAAATGTGTTGGTCTGTAAGAATATTTGATATCCAAATATGAATCATTCAAAAAGAGAGAAAATATTGAAATACAAACAAAAGTGAAAAACTCGGTGGAAGAATAGATTTCTGCTTTGTTTTGTTTTCAATAAATCCTGCAAGGAACTTTATCTTACAAATGTCTCAGTAACCCCCTGTTCATAGCAAATCAACAGAATTATAAAAGAGGGGGTTTTTGATAAATTTCTGGAAAAAGCCTCCTCAGTTTTTGTTCACCACCACTGTTTTTCAGCTTTGGGTAATTTTGCTAAGATAGGAAAGACCTTTTGCGAAAAATAACCAAAACATTGTATGCGGCATTTTGTTGTGTATTCTGTTGATTTGTTTCCCTATTCAGTGAGAAATCTTGCAGATTTCAGATATGTGCCCACATTGAAACACCACTTTAAGTGGTGAAATCACTGTGAAGATGCTATCTCCCTCTAAATACTGAATGATACTAAATGTTCCCTCCAGAAAGAAGATGAATTATTTTCTCCCATTAATTTGGAACAGAATATTTTCTCACCTCTGTGAGATCAATTAGCATTAAGGAGTACATTTAAGATAATTTTAATGAAACATGAAAATCATACTCCAGTTTGTTTGCTCATAAATTAGATTCATATTATTAATCACATCTTGCTCTTCAATCATTAACTTTAGTCAGCTCTTTATTATTAAAGATAATGGATGTAGAGAACTGTAAGTCAAAGCGGTGCAAGTTGAATGGACAATGAGCTCTGGATTTGGGGCAGAATGGAACATAAATCTCTGTAATTACTAAGTTGAAGCTATAATGCAGCCTTCAGACTTTTGAAACACATGACATTACTTTTTCTTCTTTCTTTGATTTTTTTTTCCTGGATAACATAGGGTCAGATCTAGTGGTACAGAAAAATCTACAGCCCATTGACTGTAATTTTAAAAATAAGATATATGTTGCCTATAGGGAAATGAGAACACAGAAGGATGAACAGTATTTAGATGATTATGGCTTTTGCCAAACATTCTGGGAGAAAATATGGAGTTGGTGTTGGATTTGGATGGGAACCATCCTCATACTCTGCCAGACTCCCAGTAGATAAGATGTATGGTGTGAGACTAAGGCTGCAATTCATTGGTAGGAATTTCTTGCCAGTAAAGCTGGTGGCTCTCATGCCAAGATAAGCTGCAGAATTTATTTCTCTTTATGCCAGTTTCATAGAAAGACAAGCATATTCTGGCTTTTCACCAGAATATATTCTCCCTGACATATCAGAGTGAGCATCTCTACTCATGAATTGCAAAGTGTGCCCAATGATAAATGTGAGAGGTGCAAAAGAACACGAGACCCCAAGAATACAAGTTCACCTGCTTGGGTTAATTCTTCTCATGATAAGCAGTCTGCCACTCATCTGCATCTCCCACGTTCTGATGAGTAATTTCTTGGGGCTAGTCAGATTTGTCTGAATCTTTGCTCTTTCTCAGACAGGTAAAATGCCAAATATTTATGCATTTAAATAATTAAATAGAGGAAAAAAGGGTACACACATTTTTCATTCTACATGTTTGAAACTTATTGATTTAGTAACTATCTCACCTGCTTTCTGATTTTTGAAATGTTAAGTTCTGTAACTGGATATTTATTTTTTTAAGAAGTTTTGCAGTGACTGTCATTTAGAAGTCAGCATTCAGTAGTAATGCCCTAAGAAATGGGCCCATCAAGGATTTGGGAAGATGTGTGTGTACTTAACTGGACAGTCCCATTCACCTCAGTGATACTGTTCTTGTGAATAAAGTTCAGCATGTGCACAGCTCTGTAAAAAGTTAGATTCATACAATGCTCTATTTTTCTATTTGATTTTGTGAAATACTAAACATTTGAGATATTGTTTAATAATTGTTGTCCATTTTGACCTCTACTGATCACTGATATTCCAGTGCTTGTAGTTTAATCTTTTAATTATCCAGGATATATTCCTGACTTTATGCGATGTTGCCTAGGGATTTAAGACAAGCCCTATTTTTCTGCATTCCTTTTGAAGGAGACTGCTGGCATATAACACAAATTAAAGGATCCCATTCCCACCCCACTATCAAACTAATATCCCTGACATCCAGGCAAGAAAGCATCAAGCATGTCAGCCTTTTACTATTTGGGTCAAAAGGCCTTAAATTAGGGGTAAGACAGCGCAGAAGAACAGTGACCAGATGCAAGTTCTAGCTCTGCATCAAGTTTTATCTTTGACAGTAATTTGTAGGCTGAACAGCACAATCAAAAGTTAGAAGGTCTGAGGTAGCATGGTTTTTGATGAATAATGCAGTCACCAATCTCGGAGGAAAATGGAAAACACAGGATGGGGTTGTCCAAAATCCTGCCTTAACAGCAGCAAATAGCTGCTGAATAGAACCTGGCTGTGGCCATCATGCTCCTCAAAGACTTCTGTAAAGTTTCTCCCTGTCTCAAAGAGAGGGAGAGGAGTGGGAATCCAAGCACAGCCTTCTTTCAGGCTCACGCAGGGGTATCTCTTCATGGGCATGAAGAAACTGGTTCTCTCTTAGCCGCTGGAAGTGGTTCATGAGTGTGGTACAGCCACACTTTATATAGTAGGGCAGGCTGGACTTTTAGGGCCACATTACACCCAGAGAAAGACATTAGGAAGAAGGAGGCAGTGAAAAGAATGAGAGGCAGCTGGGTGTTCCTTTAGGGCAGGGTTTTTTTCTTTAAATGTGGCATTGGATAAAAAAGGGTCTTATGTACAGCCCTTTTTAAAGCATTATTTCCTAATAAATTGAGGCTTCTGTACTCACAATGTCTGCTTATCATTTTCTGCTAATGGCTTTTGAATGTTAGCCAAGGTTTGATAGAGTTTAAGTTTCCATGCAATTAGGTCGCTGGGCAACAGGAGGGAAACCCAAATGAATGCCCCCTCTGGTTGAAGTGGCAGAGTGGGTCCTCAGCCCAGCTGTCAGGCACCACCTTTCCTGTGGTCCACAGCAACCCCACCACCCTTGTTCTACAGAGTGGTTACAGGTGGTGGTGGTAAGGTACTGCCTGGGACTTTTCTTTCTTGGCTTTTCATGATCTACCCAACAGACTTTTAGATCCTGAAATGATCTGTCTGTGAGTTCAAAGAAATAGCAAAGCAAATCCCCAAGAATTTGGGGCGGTGTAATTTGCATGTGGTCCCTTCCAACCCAAAACATTCTATGATTCTATGATTCTATGATTCTATGATTCTATGATTCTATGATTCTATGATTCTATGATTCTATGATTCTATGATTCTATGATTCTATGATTCTATGATTCTATGATTCTATGATTCTATGATTCTATGATTCTATGATTCTATGATTCTATGATTCTATGATTCTATGATTCTATGAAATCCCCAAGAATTTGGGGCGGTGTAATTTGCATTTTTGTGGAACTGTAAAAGGCACCCCATTTAAGGCATACAGATTGTTTAAGGACAGTGCCTATTTAAAAGGGCTTTTCACGCTGAGTCCTACCAGAGAATAAATACATACACCAGGTTTTGAGCTCTCTGCTAAGGTTGCCAGCTGTGGTGCAGCATTTTAATGATGAGGGCTTAGCTGCTTATGTTTCATATGGATGCAGAATAATTACAATGATGCTGATCTAAGCACCAGTATTGCAGTTTCTTCCTTCACCATACAGCCCATCTTCTCCCACCGTGGGATGTCTATGGCATGGGACAACCCTGCTGCAATTCATGTTGCAACTGTATTGTGCCAGAAAGCTAGTTAACTCTTGCTTGATTAAATTCAGTAAAATTGTTCCAAACTAGTGATTTCCTTAGATAACCTTTTTTCTTTCTTCTAATGAAATTACCTTTTAGACCATTAATTTTTCAGTGTTGATTTTGTCAGAATTTAGTAATTTTAAAATTGGTATTTCCCTAAAATAACCTGTTCTGGTTTTGGTTTTTTTCAGTGAAATATAAATTATCTTTTAGACTGCTTGGTTTTTAACATGGATTTTGTCAGAACTTTTTTATCAGTAGCTTTAAAGTATGTGGGAACACCCAGATCTCTGTAGGGATGCTGCCTATCTGTGATGCCGGTGCTCATTTTTAATGGGCATTCGCGAGGCAAATTCAGGAAAAATGTCAGAGTATTTAAGGATCAGGCATATGAGACAGGCATAGAACAGCCAAAGCGAGTTATTTTGAAAGCTGATCTGGTCGTCTTTACATTTTTTGGCCTAGCCCAGTTGATTTATCCCCAAGTAAACATCTTAGACACAAAATTATCAGTCAGAATATCCTCAGGGTATTGGATTTGTCAGTTTTATTTGAATCCTTTTGAACTCCTGAGGAATGAATTCAAGAGCTGAGTGGATAGGCAGGACGGGTTGTTTAAAAAAAAAAATCTTTGACAGGGAGTTTATGGTTCGAGTCAATCCTCTTCAAAAGTAGGTCAAAAATTGAAGTCATCAGTATGGGAGATGGAGAGTTCTTCCATGCAAACTTCAAATCTCTTAGTGTAATTGAATTATTTTGCTGTAAATAAGGGACATACAAGGATAAGGCCAGTTCCGGGCATGAAGTGTAACTAATTTTATGTTCCTGATTCTGTTCTACACATTTGTAAATAATGGGTTCATATTTTAAAACTCCCTGTCTTAATATGAAAAGGAATTTATGTGTCACAATAAAATATGAAATCAAGAACAAATAGCTGTGAATACAGGTTATGTTTTCTCCACGAAGTAATACCACAAAAGACAAAAGTAAAACTTGAAGAGGTTTATGTTAAATCTGTTTGGGATGCTTTCCTAGAGACTTTGTGCCATTTTTTTTCAAAACCAAAAACATGGCTGAGGAAAAATGTCTTAATTTCTTTCTAATCTGGAAATATAATTGGAAAAAGCTTGATATGCTCACTGTCATTTTTAAAAATGCTACATTCTGACTTTCCTCCAAAACAATTTCTGGGGAAAAAGGCAGATTAAAAAATAAAGTTCAAATAATGAGCATATAACTCTACAATTTGGACCAGTTGACCGAAATGCAAGCAAGAAAGCATCCTACATTGATGTTTTGCTGTGGTTTTTTTTTTTTGTTTTTTGCCTTCCTTCCTTCCAGGCAGGAAAAGCATTATCCTTCAAACTGTGTTTGGTTGCTGTCCCAATAATAACCCTCAGACTAGAACTATGACAGGTCTTTCATTTGGCCTGCCATTGCTGACCTGTCCCTCCTTTTTCTTGCCTTCCTGACTTTGCTCCCAAATCAAGCCATTAAACCCAAAGTTTAACAAACTGTATAATCAGTTGATCTCACGGGCATTTTTCCCTGTTAAACTAGGTTTAAATTAGACTCTAAACATTTTAGATCAGACAAGTTACCTTGTTCTGCAAAGCTCCAGGTGAATTAGTGGCTCTTAATAAAACAATAATTATAACCTCTTAAGCTGTTCCTGTTCATTGGCATGCCTGGGCCTGTCCACTGCATGTCGGAGTCCTTTTGCCTGCGGGAAGGCAGCCCCTTTTAACACATTGTCTTCCTCTGCCTTGTTTCCACAACATGGAAAAGCTAAATTCTTCATTTCAGAAGTCTTTGAGAAGACAAGACAGTTCTATATGTTAAAACTTAATATCCAGCTTGACTCCTAATTCATATGAAATGTATAAATGGCTTTGTCTTGCCAGTGATGCAGTTATTTAGTTAAAGTAACAGCTTCTCATCAAGCTGTTCACAGTCGTTTAAGCTGCTACTAGAAAAGGGAGCAACAGGGTCCTCCGCAGCCTGTTGCTTCTGTTCCTGTACAGTCATGATTGCCCCAGGGGCTCTGCCTGAGTTTCCTCCTGTAGCTAGAAATGCCATTGCACCCCTCAGGCAAGCCTTCCTGCAGTGCACCCTGGCCTGGTTTTAACTTGCTGTGTACCTTTGAGTGAGTCTTGGTGCCTTTCCTGTGGTCAGAACAGTCCTCTGATCCTTCCTTAGCAAGCTATGAATGTACCTGTCTTTAAATTCCTGTTTGCTGCCCAGCTCACAAACCTGCCAGCGCCCCTGATGGCCTGCCTGCCTCCCTCCCTCCCTCCTCCCAGGGCACTGCAGCCACCCTTCCCCTCTGCAAGCTTTTGTGCCTTTCACCAATGCTTCTGTTCTGTTCAAGGCTCTCTTTCATCCTTGTGCTGTGTTTCCCTCGCATTCCCCAGGATGGTCCCCCCTAGTCTAATGGCGGGTGGTGGGGAGGTGCCTTTGGCTGCCTGTGTCTCAGTGCATTAGTTTCTTTTTACTCACTCCTTACCAGCTAGGGGGTTGCTTCTGGGCAAGGCGTTTTGGAGTGATGTAGTCACATGAAACACATGCCTATAATTACAAATGAGGGACATCCATATTCCAGGCAGCGGGCCATGCAATTCACAGCTCCACTGACAGCTCCCGGTGATGTATCGCTGACGCTGATGTGTTGTAAACTTGCAAGGGCAGCCAGAGAGGCAACACTGGAATGGAGGAGGGTATTAATTCACTACTGATTGAGTCAGATTTCATCAGCTGTAAAATTAGAGTGGATCAGTTTTCAGTTGCCGCCGGTTATCTGAGAATATTAGTAGTAATTAGAGAGTTATAGATAGATAAATTTAAAATATTTGAAGTTCTAGCCAGGGGAAAAGTGTGACTATAGATTTCAGTAAACACTCAGATAGCGTGGCTCCTGGCATGCTGTACAGGGAATGGGTTCTGTTGGAGTGTGCTGTGTAATGGCATTTGGCTGTGTCACTGATTATTTAGAAATGAAGTGAGAGAAGCAGCCTGTATTCCTGTCTGGGCAGAAAATAGTTTGACCTGGATCTGAACTTCTTACCAGCTGCTTGTGCATATCTATAATGTGTGGGCATGATATATTGCTGTAAGTATGAATTTAATTTTTATGTCGCCAGTGTCACTTTGAAACAAAATGGGGAGTAAAGTTCTTTCAAAAGCTTTGAGAAAGGCCTGACTGCAGAATAACATTTGCATTGACTTCTTGGTCCTAAAACTCTAATTAAATTATTGATTATGAAGGTGGCTGCTTTCTTAATAGTTCCTAATGTAACAATTAAAGCAAAGTAAGTAATTAAAAATTAAAAGATCGGGCCACAAGTACAATCTTCAAAAGGTCATTTTCAACTTAATCACTTTTGTGAAAGAGGTAAGAATAAAACAAATGAGTCATTAGTAAAAAAGCAATTTAGTGTGTGTATGTGTGTAATAATGTTCCTACCAGATTACCACTGGCCACACAATACCTAAATTAATTTAAAATAATAACTAAATTTACTTAGTTGATATTATATTAATACCTCTCTTCCCAGACCAGGCCTCCATTGTGTGAAGAGTGGTAGAAGGTCCATAGCATGATTCTCCTCTAGCCAGCTGATAACCAAGGCAGAAGCCAAAAGCTTCAGCCAAAGAGAGCACAAAATTTCAGTGAAACCATTCTGTTATTATTTAACATCATAAAAAATGTTTTGTACTACACAGACCATTTATTAGCAACTTTTTTGTAGGCATGAGAAGTAAGGGGAAATTTTTAGA